TCTATAAGCATTATTTTTGTCACGATTTCCTGCTTTCTTTAGGACTTGTGATTGTTCTGTTGTGTCACTGTATGTCACACAGAGCTGACAGTCTAAGTTCTATACAGTGCCCTCAATTCAATATCATGGATGGAATCCAGTCCAGTATCCTTTGCCTCTCTCATCAACATGTCTTCGCCTCTCTCATCAACATGTCTTCGCCTCTCTCATCAACATGTCTTCGCCTCTCTCATCAACATGTCTTCGCCTCTCTCATCAACATGTCTTCGCCTCTCTCATAAACATGTCTTCGCCACTCTCATCAACATGTCTTCACCTCTCTCATCAAAATGTCTTCACCTCTCTCATCAACATGTCTTCGCCCCTCTCATCAACATGTCTTCACCTCTCTCATCAACATGTCTTCACCTCTCTCATCAACATGTCTTCGCCTCTCTCATCAACATGTCTTCGCCTCTCTAATCAACATGTCTTCGCCTCTCTCATCAACATGTCTTCACCTCTCTCATCAACATGTCTTCACCTCTCTCATCAACATGTCTTCGCCTCTCTCATCAACATGTCTTCACCTCTCTCATCAACATGTCTTCACCTCTCTCATCAACATGTCTTCACCTCTCTCATCAACATGTCTTCACCTCTCTCATCAACATGTCTTCACCTCTCTCATCAACATGTCTTCGCCTCTCTCATCAACATGTCTTCACCTCTCTCATCAACATGTCTTCACCTCTCTCATCAACATGTCTTCACCTCTCTCATCAACATGTCGTCACCTCTCTCATCAACATGTCTTCGCCTCTCTCATCAACATGTCTTCACCTCTCTCATCAACATGTCTTCACCTCTCTCATCAACATGTCTTCGCCTCTCTCATCAACATGTCTTCACCTTTCTCATCAACATGTCTTCGCCTCTCTCATCAACATGTCTTCACCTCTCTCATCAACATGTCTTCGCCTCTCTCATCAACATGTCTTCGCCTCTCTAATCAACATGTCTTCGCCTCTCTCATCAACATGTCTTCACCTCTCTCATCAACATGTCTTTACCTCTCTCATCAACATGTCTTCGCCTCTCACATCAACATGTCTTCACCTCTCTCATCAACATGTCTTCGCCTCTCTCATCAACATGTCTTCACCTCTCTCATCAACATGTCTTCACCTCTCTCATCAACATGTCTTCGCCTCTCTCATCAACATGTCTTCGCCTCTCTCATCAACATGTCTTCACCTCTCTCATCAACATGTCTTCGCCTCTCTCATCAACATGTCTTCACCTCTCTCATCAACATGTCTTCGCCTCTCTCATCAACATGTCTTCGCCTCTCTCATCAACATGTCTACGCCTCTCTCATCAACATGTCTTCGCCTCTCTCATCAACATGTCTTCGCCTCTCTCATCAACATGTCTTCGCCTCTCTCATCAACATGTCTTCGCCTCTCTCATCAACATGTCTTCACCTCTCTCATCAACATGTCTTCGCCTCTCTCATCAACATGTCTTCGCCTCTCTCATCAACATGTCTTCGCCTCTCTCATCAACATGTCTTCGCCTCTCTCATCAACATGTCTTCGCCTCTCTCATCAACATGTCTTCGCCTCTCTCATCAACATGTCTTCGCCTCTCTCATCAACATGTCTTCGCCTCTCTCATCTACATGTCTTCACCTCTCTCATCAACATGTCTTCACCTCTCTCATCAACATGTCTTCACCTCTCTCATCAACATGTCTTCACCACTCTCATCAACATGTCTTCGCCTCTCTCATCAACATGTCTTCGCCTCTCTCATCAACATGTCTTTGCCTCTCTCATCAACATGTCTTCACCTCTCTCATCAACATGTCTTCACCTCTCTCATCAACATGTCTTCACCACTCTGATCAACTTGTCTTCGCCTCTCTCATCAACATGTCTTCACCACTCTCATCAACATGTCTTCGCCTCTCTCATCAACATGTCTTCACCTCTCTCATCAACATGTCTTCACCACTCTCATCAACATGTCTTTGCCTCTCTCATCAACATGTCTTCGCCTCTCTCATCAACATGTCTTCGCCTCTCTCATCAACATGTCTGCGCCTCTCTCATCAACATGTCTTCGCCTCTCTCATCAACATGTCTTCGCCTCTCTCATCAACATGTCTGCGCCTCTCTCATCAACATGTCTTCGCCTCTCTCATCAACATGTCTTCGCCTCTCTCATCAACATGTCTTCGCCTCTCTCATCAACATGTCTTCGCCTCTCTCATCAACATGTCTTCGTTTCCTCAGTCCCTGTATTTCCCATTTTAGTGCTTGTTTGGTGGTTCTCTGCTTTTTCTACTCCAACGAAGGCCATCTACTTTGTCATATAACTCTTGTTACTAGTGGTTGCCCAGACATTTCTCTTTTTCATGCCTTTTTAATTCATCTAATTTTATGTTTATAATTTTCCAAAGGGGTTTGTTTTTACAAGCATTTAACTTTCGTTCCATGTCTTAGGAGTGATTCTCCAACTGTCACTAGCATATGTTACAAATGAAGTAACATTAGAATTGAAAATACGTAACTTTGTTCCATCTCGCTTGTATAGATTACATTAAATAGCTATTTCTTAATTATTCATTGATTTATGTTGTATTTTTTACTGATCTAGCTCCCTATGGATGCCTGCAGTCAGACCTGACTAGTCTACTGGACGGTGGTCTCAAGGAGGGCATGGACGGATGCCAGATGTTTGGTGCCGCCATGTCCTTGCCACACATGAAGACTTTCTACCAGAGACCGGGTGTTCCGTCTTCAGTTGTGGCTCCTTACGCAACAACCACACTTGTGAATAAGGGAGGTGGAACTACACCACGACCTAGTCAGAGCAGTGTAAGTTCAATTCTTTTTATGGCTATCTGATTCAGTCTTCAGTACGCCTTTGCAGTTCTGCCAGTGAGTGATACATTGTTGATGGTATCATGAAAAGAGATAAAACCGAACAAAAAGTATATCAGCGAGCTTCACAATATAACAAACACAAAAAAATCATTAAAGTTGCGGCTATGGAGCCTTCTTCAGCACATGCATAGATTAGACGATACTACCAAATACACAATATCACTTATCAGCATATCTCGTGGCAGCCAGGTCGATGTCAAGGCAATTGTAAATGGTAGTCTGCCTAGGAACTTGTCTAACCTGCAGCTAAATCAGGGTGTTTTCTTTTAAGTCGGAATGCATCTACCTGAGAGATGAAGTTCCAAGTTTGCAAACAAATAAGCCAGATCTGTAAATGTGTCAATTTTTTCAAGTTTTGGGACAAGACTAAAGCTTCAGATGTGGACGACAACTAGAAATTGCCACCAGAGTTTACAGCCAGTGAATGCTAATAAGAAGTCTGCATAGGAAAGAGATGATTTGACAGAATCATTGAGTGGAGCCCATTAAGAAAGCTGAAAATGTTCCATTGAAACATAAGGTGAGAGAGAGAGAAGAGGGGGGGAAGAGGAGGGGGAGGGTTGGCAGACAATAAGACTTATACTGAGCCAAAAGAACAATTAGAAAATCCTAGCATGGAGCTCATGACACAGGACAGTTAACTATAAAATCTGTCCATGATACTCATGACACAGAAGTAGAGAGAGACTGCAACACATATATAAGAGAATTAGAGATTAAGAGCTGAGGTGTGTGGGAGGAAATACAATAGACTTACAGAACAAGATCATTTACGATGAGCCGGCTCAGGACTTATGCTCCACCAGAAAGAAGCAAGGGAAGGAGAGTTTAAGTGAAAAGGAGAAGCAGGAGAAAGAAGCCATAGAATGAAGGAGAATGAAAAAGTGAATATGACAAAAAGGAGTCTGTACAGATGTATGTTGAATTATATGTCTGGTTTTCCTTGTCTCAAATTGCCACCATATGATTGTTTTCTGCCTACATCTACAGATTGTAGACTCCAGCTTCCGCCCCATCAACCATGCCTATGTCCACTCCAGTGCTAGCGGATCTGAGGACAGTTGCCAGAAGCCAGATATTGCCTTCCGAGACTCCATGACAGACAGCTCCAGACCAAACACTGGCCACTACTCATATGGTAGGTTTTCTCCGTGTGGCTCCATTTGTGAAGAACAAAGAATAGACCAGCTGCCCCCTACCTCAACAAACATGCCGTAGAAGGCTAATAATTAAGGGTGTTTCCTGAGAGGCAAGGAACCAGCAGCCTGCAACCAGATCTGTAAAACAGATATGAGTGAAAAACTTAAGTTCTGAATCTAGACCACAGTCCAGGAATGGACAGACAACCAGAACCTTCCTCTGCAGTTTACAGCCACTGAATACAAAAAAGAAAAAGATACGATAGGTTTGACTCCAGATTATATATATATATACATATATATATATATATATATATATATATATATATATATATATATATATATATATATATATATGGGTGGGTGGGTGGGTGGGTGTTCGATCCCAATACATCATCCTCTTGTAAGATTGACCCCAGTGTAACCTATTGTAAGATTGATGTTAGTATATAAAATGTATCACATTTATCAGCCAAGTGTTGAGACAAGAATTGTGACAGATAGGGCACAATAGAGCACAGTTATCAGTATCATGTCTAGACAGGTTAGTTGACTGATATTTGTCAATTATATCAGCCTAGTGTTGAGTCAGAAAAGCAATATATAGGACTATATGTAGTCACAACAAACAGGTTAACCAGTGAGCATTTCCAAACATAAAAGTCTTTAAAAATATTAAGCACTTTTTAATGTTACCACATTTATTTTGAGTGCCTGCCAAAGTAATTTCTCTGTCACCTTCAAATTAGTCCGTGTCCTAGATACTGACTTCTCCATCCATCATTTATTGCTAGTTTCACTTCCTGTGTCCTTCACTTTTTGGGTTATATTTGTGTGATGGTATCCTTGACCTATGACCCTGGCCTACATCTTGTATGTTCTGTTTCCACCAGCAGGCTGCACCCATGACCATGACCTTTGTGAGGAGATGACCAGCCTGGGCAGTGACAGCGGCAGTTACATCACAGGTCGGACATTGTTATATCTCTCTACCTTTATCTTTATCTTTTCCATTTTCATCCTCTTCTTCTTCTTTCTTCTTTTTCTTCTTCTTCTTCTTCTTCTTCTTCTTCTTCTTCTTCTTCTTCTTCTTCTTCTTCTTCTTCTTCTTCTTCTTCTTCTTCTTCTTCTTCTTCTTCTTCTTCTTCTTCTTCTTCTTTTTCTTCTTCTTCTTCTTCTTCATAGCCTTCAGTGACTGCAAACTCTGACGGAAAGATCTGGTAAATTATGGACTTGAGTCTGATTTCAGAACCTGAATTTCACTTATACTTCAGTTTTGCAGATCTGGCATAACTTTTATGCAGACTGTAGATTTCTCCCTGCTCAGGGAGATGTAATCTGACATTGAAAGAAACACCCCTAATTATTCGCCTTTTATGATATGCTTGTTGAAGGAGGGGTAAGGGGGGGGCAGTGAGTATTATTTTCCACCAAAGTGGGGTCCCGGAACCCACATAGGTAGTCTTTTCCATTTGAGATTTATCCGTTCTGTCAACAACTGTGAGGCTGGTTCGTTGGTTTTGGTGGCGCTTGCTGGGTTAAAGTTACATTCTGCCTGATTTTGATGGATTTTCACAATGAATCTGCGCTTCCAGACTGAACCAGTCTTAAAATTTCTGGAAGTTCTGATTGAGCTATTAAAGATGTCAACAAAGATGACGCAAACAATAGATGGCACAGTTGGTTGCCAGACATATTTTGCTGTATCTTGCCAGGTGAACACTGTGGTAACAGTTAATTCAAATGAAGCAAATCAATTAAATCTTCTCATCAGGGATTGTTTTTTGGCTGTACACATCAGTACACAGTCTCGGCAACTTTTTTTTAAGGCATTTTTTTTTTTTTTTGGGTAGCGCTATTGTAATAGACACTTTCGATGAGTACCAGCACCTTTTTTATCAAGGGGAAAAAAGCCTTGCATCTGACTGAAACACAAAATCGACCACGTTTAAAAGTATCTAGTTTATGTCGGTTCCATATTTAAAATATGGCATTACACAGTATATATAGCATGCCTCTAAATGTGGATTTAGGACTTTGCTTTCCATCTTGTTTTAGTAATTGGACAATTGATGTATGTTGTTACACACATGGCTGGTATGTCTAAATAACTGGACCGTTTGTGTATATCACTATCTGTCAAAACAGCTACACAGTATATATAAATAACTCGACAGTTTGTTTATGTCTTCTTCTTCTTATTCTTTCTTCTTCTTCTTCTTCTTCTTCTTCTGCTTCTTCTTCTTCTGCTTCTTCTTCTTCTTCTTCTTCTTCTCCTTCCTCTTCTTCTTCGTGTTAACCAGCTGTATACTCAGGCAGAAAGTTCTGGTTGTTCATCCACCTCCAGACTTAAGTGTTGTTCCAGAACCTGAATGTTGTGTGCACATATGTTTTACAAATCTAGCTTTTTTGTATACAAACTGTCGGTTCCACTCTAGCAGTTGCACTCTGACTTCAAAGGATGCTCATGCAACATTTTTGTTGGGAAGACAGTGGGTGTATTCTTGTTTTCCTCACAATGGGACCCGAGAACCCACACAGGGAGTTTGTTTATGTCCCTGTAAACAGTTGGACTGTGAAAGTCACTAGATTTATTACTTATATGTACAAGTTGTTTGTGTAAATCACTGCATTGTTTTTAACAACTAGACTGTTTTTGTAAATAATCAGACTGTAAATAAGTAGACAGTTTATGTAAATAATCTACTGTTTGGGTCAATCAGTAAATTTTTTGTGTAAATTAGGGACAGCTTACTCGAACAACAAAACTGTTTGTGTAAATAATTATAAAGTTTGTTTGCATAACCAGACTAACTATCCACAGATGATAATGGATTGCCTATAAAACACAAATACTCCAAAATTGGAGGGTGTAGCATTTGTTTGCAAGGGAAACAACCTGTTGTCAACTGGTCAGAGTTACTTCCCCCACCACCTGAAAACCTTCCTTCAGTGAGTGAGCTTGGATCGCCCATGGACTATTCTGGGGAATCTACCTTCCAGTGCCATATTAACAATCATAATAACAACAACAGCTGTATGATTGACCCCAGGTACACGGACAGTCTGGTTTCTTCACTGTCTAAACTGTCTGCCTGCTCCTGTCCCATTCCACACGACAGTGTTTTCCCACACCAACATGCAAAAATCCCCTACTCTGATTTTGACTACCCAACGCATCCAGGTCTGTCACACCGCTACCACGATCTGGCTGGGATCTATCAAGATGGTAGCGGGCCCAGCTGTGGCAGTGCCCACAACTCTGACAGACCTTACTCACCGAAACTGCCAAGTTTGTTAAGATCCCAGCATGCAGACTCTTTACTGCATCGATGCCCATCGCCGAGGTCATGCCATAGCTGCAATAATAGTGTACAGCCATCGTCAGGGCTTCAGATAATGCCGTCGTCCTCATCGTCAGCTTCATCGTATGGCTCTAATTATCATCACCTGGCTCATCAACCACTGCACACGGGCATGTTTGGATCAGCCAATCAAAGTTCCTCTGGAGCTGAAAATTACAACGATTCCAAGGTGAAGGCCTCGTCCCAGATGTGTGGTATGCATCCTCAAGGACAAGTTTCCTCTGCCTTCACACAAACTGGACAAGGAGGACAGGTTTCTTACAACGGCAGTTATCCATACACGCCGGTGGCCCTGCATGGATATCGGATGCCATCCATGGAACCTGAACATCCACGAAATTCCTGTGAGTTTGATCAGTTTACAGGTCAAGTACATCCGTCTGGGATCACAGATCACGAAGGATCTCAGATGTTCTGCCCCACAAGGGATGTTCTAGTGGCACAGTTTAGAGGAGGGTGAGTGGCTTTACTCTCTTGTTTTCACATTCCATCACGTATCTGCACAAGGTCAATTGTATGTTGATTTTAACATATAGTAGTGGATAACAATATATTGTAGAGCATTGGCGAATAATAGAGCATTAGGGGAATAGTACAGCATTGGAAGAATAGTAAAGCACTGGGGAATAACTGAGCATTGGGGAATAACCGAGCATTTTGGGAATAGTAGAGCACTGAGGAATAGTGGAGCAGTGGAAGAATAGTAGAGCAATGGGGGAATAGTAGAACCCTTGGAAAATAGTAGAGCACTAAGAAATAGTAGAGCACTGTGATGAATATAAGAGCACTGGAGTAAATAGTAGAGCACTGGGGAATAATAGAGCACTGGAAGAATATAAGAGCACTTAGGGAATAGTAGAGCACTTGGGGAATAGTAGAGAACTTGGAGATAAAGTGGCAGGAAGTGATTGTGACTCAAAGGTAAACATAAAAGGTATTGTAAAAGAGCAGACCGTCAGAGAAAGCAGTAGGATGTTCTGAAAATTAGTCACTGGTAAAGAAAGCAATGCAGATAAATGTCTTGTCAGTTCTGACTCTTACCGTGGGTAGTCATGTCTTCGGTGGAAAAAATCAACAAAGGATAGAGTCATTATCCAAAAACTTTTCTGGGGACGACTAAACACGCCAGTGCTCATCCTTAGTGCGGTTATGTTTATTTGTCATCATAACTAATCTATTTATGCACACAGTTCTTTTTATACAGCTCTCAAAATGATACCAGCAGTGGTGCAGTTAAAACACAGAAATTTGTCACGATTTAGTAAAGTAAAGGTCCCTTTTCCAAGCCCTTAGGCAAATTGGAAATATAGGGCTAGACCTATATTTTTATAGACCAAATGGCACTTAGTGAGCAGTGTGGTCAGCATTATGCCGGCCGCTTTTACTTCCCAGAACTACACCTGGTACACACATAAGGCTGGGCCGACCTGAGAGTCAAGGTTATTTTTCACAAAAAGTCCTGCTCCGTCAGGACGCAAACCCACGATCTTCCGATCCGCAGGCGGGCGTCTAGCCGCCAATGCCACAGCGACTCCCTGTCACAATTTGATATAATATTTTGTTTTAAATCCCCCAGCAGACAAGAGTCACCAGGTTATGAGGCAGTCACAGATGATGCCAGAAAAGTAGGCGTGGATGTCCGGAGATCACGCAATTGTCACTCTGCAAACTCCAGCGTCAATGAAGAGGATTGTATCTCAGGTAATTTACCTAACAGTTTTTACATCATTATCATTATTATCAGGGTTAATTTCATCTTAAATATTATTATTATCATAATTACCATTCAAAACCATTGTCATTATCTTGTTTTCATATCATCCTCTTTATCACATTATCATATCTCATATTTTCTTCATCATATATTAACTAAATATTTTCATCATCATATTGTAAGCTTTACCGTCATTATCATTATCATATTATCAGCATTATTTTATTTTCATATATTAATCCTTATTGTCATATAATCATCTTTATCATGATCTTTTTTATCCTAAGATCATATCATCATCTTTTTCTTCATTACTACATATTAATCTTTACCTTCACATCCTCATCTTTTTACCATTATATTCATCTTCACTATCAAATAATAATTCTCATCCTGATTAGCATCATTCAAAACAGCATGTGTAATACCAGTAGTACGGTACTGTCATGTGTACCCATGTACAAAAGATGTAGAAGGGTTGCTAGTTCTGGTGGTGCAGAAGTAGGTGCCAGTTTATATTTATAAGCTTTTATTTAGGTCACTTTTGTTTGTCTGGTCAAAACAGCCTTCTTGTTTTAACAATATTTCTTTATAAGCTATTGAGCTCAAATTGTGTGCACACACGCTTTGTGAATATCAATGCAATGTGGTGCAAACATATTTAACATTTTTTTTTTTAACTGATAGTTTGCGTTTCAAAAAAACATATATTTGTGTAGCAAAATATGTTTTCAATGGAATTATTCTATAAGTTCACCATGGTGTTAGGGAAGTTCGAAATTTGTAACAATGATGCATTGGTGGAAACATATATTTTACTGTAGTGTAAATAACAGACTTCCTAGATGTAACAGAGTGAATAGTCATTGTTAACAAATACTTTTTAATTAACTACTTTGATTGGTAATGTGTAGTTATGACGGAAGAGGAGAAAATAAGAAACACATTTTAACAACTTTTTATCAAATATGCTTTTATTTAAATACATGTACAGAGTAACTAATGCAGTAAAAAGATAAAAAAAAGATCTATTTTATTGGACACAAGTGGTATAATAATTATCGTTGCAAAATTATTTACAGTTTTATATTATAACTAATAGAAGCATAGGATAACTTACAATGTATCATACTCGATTTGAATTGTCAAAAGTATAAGTCATTATCTGTATGCATTTATACATGTTATTAGTTTGTTATGTATGTAACAATATGTGTATGGGTGTCCTGTGCTTTTATTAGTCATGATATAAAACTGTAGTTGAATTTTATAATGACAATTATTTTATCTCTTGTGTCAATTAAACAGTAAGATAAATTTATTAGTTTCTTTTTAGTGTGTTAATTATTTTATACTCTTTTGATTAAAAGCTTCTCTTTTTTAAAGTTTACATGTTTTAAAACATTTTTTAAAATTTTTTTTAAATTCAATTATTTTGTTTGTGTCAGAATTAGCGAAGTAGAACTCCTCAAAACTTGATAGGGATAGGTTTGAAATCAGGGTGGCTATTTATAACAATCCTAAAGGCTCAGTTGGAATTGGGGTGAGTCACATAAGCTTCATTTTGTGTGTAAGGTACTGGATGGATCTGTAGACTTTCTGAGGGGGCAATGGGATGGATGGGTGGTTCTCTTTAGACTTACCATTTGGTGGGTCATCATCATGTAGCAGGTCCTTTGCAGAACGTCGCTCTCATCACAGTCTGCCTGAAAGAAACTTGGTCTCTCGCCAGTTCTCCCGTCTCATGCACTTTCACACTCAAGGAGTCACTTATATCCTGTGCCCATCTTCGTGTCGGTCGGCCCCTGCCCCTCCTTCCTGGTACCATGCCTTCTGCTATAATTTTTTTCCAATCCATCGTAGCGCTTGATATGACCAAAATATTTCAGTTTTGAGAAAGGATTTTGTTATAAGCCAATCTTCCTTGATGTTCAGATCTTTTAAGATGTCAGTATTTCTCATCTTCTTTGTCCAAGATATTCTGAGAATCTTTCTATAGCATTTCAGCTCAAAAGCTCCTATTCTCTTTCTTAAGGACTGAGAGACAGTTCATGACTCACATCCGTATGTAGCCACAGGGAAGATGCATGCTCTAACAATTCTAATTTTTATCTCCTTGCTGGTGCTTAACCATAGACTTTTAAGGCTGTTGAATCTTTGCATTGGCCATCCTCCTTTTAATTTCTGTCGAACAGTCTCCATTGTTGTTTATTATAGAGCCTAGATATTCAAAGTTTGTTACATTTTCAATTTCTTCAGCATTTATTTTTATTTTTGGGTGATCTTAAGGCCATCATCACAACTATCCTTACTTTCTCTTCCCCAGTTCACGTTTGTGATCTGCCTGGCCTGGGGGCCTCACCATCTGATCTTTGAGTTTCATTTTTGGCTTCCATGATGAGTTTCTTGGGATAGTAATGTGGTAGTTTCCCGTTGCTTTTCCACATCCACATGGCTTTAGACCATGTCCTCAGCCTTCAGCAACCTTTTCGATTGCTAGGGCAAGTGAGTGCCCTGCTCTGTGATGCTCCTGCTAACAGTAGAGGGCACCCCAGAGGTGTCCACTTATCCTGGCATATACTCGGTCCCCATAGCTGCGTTGGCCACACCCCAGTGTGTTTACCATACTCTACCGTGTGGAGGTGCAGTTGGGGTTTTCCCTTCACTGTCTTGAGACCAGAATGGCATTTCCCAAAACTTTTCCAGTACTTTCAGAGGACTACTGGTGGGTAAGGAAGCAAAAATGGGTCTCTGTAGACTTGCTATGAGGAGAGCAGAGAAGCAGGATAGATCTATGTAGACTTACTATGTTGTACAGGGAAGCAGGATGGATCTATGTAGACTTACCATAAGTTATAGGGAAACAGGATTAATCTATGTAGACTTACCTTGTTGTGTAGGGAAGCATGGTGAATCTCTGCAGACTTACCATGTTGTATAGGGAAGCAGGATGGATTTATGTAGACTGACCTTAAGTTATAGGGAAGCAGGGTGGATCTCTGCAGACTTTCCTTGTTGTATAGGGAAGCAGGATTGATCTATGTAGACTTACTTTGTTGTATAGGAAAGCAGGGGATGGTATCTCTGTTGCAGACCTTGGATCTCTGTTTTATAGTTGTATAGCAGGAAGGATCTATGTAGGAAAGAAGGGTACCAAGATATAAAGAAAAAGCATGATCTCTGATTACTCTGTAGACTTTATAGATCTTGTTTACTTGTTGTGTAGGGATGCAGGGTGAATCTCTGTAGACTTACCATGTTGTGCAGGGAAGCATGATGGATCTATGTAGGCTTACCAAAAGTTATAGGGAAACAGGATTAATCTATGTAGACTTACCATGTTGTATAGGGAAGCAGGATGGATCTCTGCAGACTTTCTCTGTTGTATAGGGAAGCAGGAGGGATCTATGTAGACTTACTATGTTGTATAGGGAAGCAGGAGGGATCTATGCAGACTTACTATGTTGTATAGGGAAGCAGGAGGGATCTATGTATACTTACTATGTTGTATAGGGAAGCAGGAGGGATCTATGTAGGCTTACTATGTTGTATAGTGAAGCAGGATGAATCTCTGCAGACTTTCCTTGTTGTATAGGAAAGCAGGAGGGATCTGTGTAGGGAAAAATGTTTGATCTATGTAGACTTACCATGTAGTAAGTGTGGAAGCAGGATTAGTCTTCACAAACTTGCAGATTAAAGAGAAAAGACCAGTTTTGCTCCGAAAAGGCTGAAAGATGCAGATATCC